GTTTACAAACCACCAGGACCTTTTATCGTAACTTTAACATTCTTGGCTTGTAAAGATGGTGAATTTTGGAAAAATAAGGATATTGGTAAAACGTATGATTTTTTTAAACCCGGTGTTACAAGATTTGATAATACAGATAACGATATACAAAGTAGAATAAATAATAAATGGGAAGTTATAAACTCTGTAGATAGACTGATCGATATCAATGCATAAACACAAGAAGTTCAGAATTTTTGTGTATGTGAACCGTACGAATACACTTTTAAAATACCAATATACACGGCCCATGATGGGTCACAAGAACTTAGAAAAGATCCTGGAATGCCATTTTGCTTACCTGGAAAACCCACATCAGATGGAATTCTTTCTTTTGGTTGTGATAAACAAAAAGGTGGATTCAGTCTGAATATCGCTTGGATAGTGACAGTAACTGTGGATCCTTCAGCCTTGCAAGAAAAAATTGATAATACACTCTTGGCTAATGCAACTACAAACAAAGATGAACCTATCAATTTAGAAGATGCATTATTTTTTGGAATAGAACAAAGTAAAACTGTTTTTTTACCAGGATTATTTTTAATCGTTGAATATAGTATTGCTTTATTTGGATATAATACCGATATGGATAACCTACAAAATCTCAGATTAACTAGTGGTGCTGCATTACAACAGCTTATCAATACTATAAAAGCAAATAACCCTGTTCCTTCTCAACTTAATGAATCTGTTCTAACACCCACCCCAACCGAAATAATAATTTAAAATGAATATTTTATTTAGCTATAACATAATTTATGAATATTATACAAACAAGATCAAAGAAAAGGAAAAGCTTGTAGATTTGAAACTGGGTAGCAATCTTTAAAATTTGATACATGGAGATATACGTTTAAACAAGTATATGATCTCAGATTTGAATGAGAAAATTTGTGTTTGTGGATCAATATTAATTCAAAGATTTAAAGAGAAAATTTATAATGAAAAAGATTACAATCAGGTCTTGAAATATATTGATACGTTAAAAAATGTTGATAATTTTTTTATCAAAGATGAAGAAAACTACACTAACGAACTTGAAGAGTTAAAACTAAAAATTAAAATTAAAATTAACAAACAGATCGATTTAAAAAATAATCAATCAATTATCATGTTTAAAAAAAGAAATAATAATATTTGATTTAAACTGATTTATTTTCTGTCCTTTGTAAATAATAATAAAATCATTAACATAATCATGAAAAGATATTTAAAAATTGTAGACAATAAAGATAATATTCACGAAATCAAATCTAGAATAGTGAATAGATT